AACAATACTAAACACATCACAAATAAGGTTTCTCTCCTGTATGGCTCCTCAAATGATGCTTAAAATTAGAAGCGGCTGAAAAGCATTTCTCACACTCCGAACAAAAATATATTTTTTTAACATTCACTCCACTTTGAACGAAATGACGTTTGGGAAGAGATTAACATAATTAAACACAGGTAGTAAAAATACAGTTTTTAGCCATACACTGTAACTTTAAAAACTACACATCCCATCTTCTATAATTACATATTTGGAATCAGCACACTTAAAACATAAACATAACCAAAAATCAGCCAAATCCATCCAGGGGTTAAAAAGTTAGCTGGAGGTCCCTTTATGACCGACCGCAAGAACATTTTCCTGCCCAAAACAGTTCCATAGATTTGGGCTGTGCGGCCGGTCTAATTCAGGCTGAAAAAACGACTAAGTCCCATCGCCGAATGGGACTTTGTCTCTGCAGCTGTAAAACCAGTAGGGGAGAAGGTAGAGCTCAGCGGTGTTCGCGGAAATGTGTAGCCGATTTTAGTTCCATGAATTTAGCTACACATACCACTGACCTCGTCGAATGATCAAAGATGGCCGCCGCCACGTGTTCGGCAAACGAACAAAGACCTCCCAGCATTGTCAATTAAGCTGCGGTTAACCGCAGCTTCTGGGAGGTAAATTGCCTGCACACTTCCACTTCTGGGTGGTCTGCCTCTGTGGTACTTGGTTCAGTAAGCCCCATTTACTGAACCAAGTGGGAAATAGCCAGGCAGGCACAAGGGATTTGCACCAGGTCTGGGGACACAGTGAACACCGTCTTAAAGGGGCAGTGTCCCCAACAAGTCTGGGGACACGGCCTTAAAGGGGCAGTGTCCCAATCTTCCTGATGTCCCAAAAAAGGTGTTTAAAGGGCCAGCACCAGTCAGTCCATAAGCCCCAATATGCCCACTGACAGTCTTAAAGGCCATACACACCAAATAAAAGTGCATACATTTTCACAATCTCCCAGGGGCCATAGTCATGCGGGAGGAGGCTGGCAAATAGGCTTCTCCACAACCCAGGGAAGCAGGGCAATTTGCCATTTAAAGGGCCCGTTACAAGTAGCAGTTTGTAACAAGGTGTCAATCCATATCTGCCAAGTGACCCGATGTAGGGGGAACAGTCCCTATTCTGCTCTGTGTCAGTGTGTATCATGGTCTCTGAGGACAGGTGTCAATCCATATCTGCCAAGTGACCCTATGTAGGAGGAACAGTCTCTATTCTGCTCTGTGTCAATGTGTATCAGGGGCTCTGAGGACAGGTGTCAATCCATATCTGCCAAGTGACCCTATGTAGGAGGAACAGTCTCTATTCTGCTCTGTGTCAGTATGTATCAGGGGCTCTGAGGACAGGTGTCAATCCATATCTGCCAAGTGACCCTATGTAGGGGGAACAGTCCATATTCTGCTCTGTGTCAGTGTTTATCAGGGATCCTTAGGATAGGTGTCAATCCATATCTGCCAAGTGACCCTATGTAGGGGGAACAGTCTCTATTCTGCTCTGTGTCAGTGTGTATCATGGTCTCTGAGGACAGGTGTCACTCCATATCTGCCAAGTGACCCTATGTAGGGGAACAGTCTCTATTCTGCTCTGTGTCAGTGTATCATGGTCTCTGAGGACAGGTGTCAATCCATATCTGCCAAGTGACCCTATGTAGGGGTAACAGTCCCTATTCTGCTCTGTGTCAGTGTGTATCAGGGATCCCTAGGACAGGTGTCAATCCATATCTGCCAAGTGACACTATGTAGGGGGACCAGTCCCTATTCTGCTCTGTGTCCGTGTGCATCAGGGGCTCTGAGGACAGGTGTCAATCCATATGTCAATGTGTCAATATGTCATATGTCAGGTGTCAATCCATATTCATTGTGATTTAGGAATGTTAGGTGATTTCTGCCCTTTATGGATTAAAACCAGACTCTGTATCAACTGTGTAATTTTCCATGGATCCCCCTCCGGCATGCCACAGTCCAGGTGTTAGTCCCCTTGAAACAACTTTTCCATCACTATTGTGGCCAGAAAGAGTCCCTGTGTGTTTTAAAATTCGCCTGCCCATTGAAGTCTATGGCGGTTCGCCCGGTTCGCCGGTTCGCAAACATTTGTGGAAGTTCGCGTTCGCCGTTCGCGAACCGAAAATTTCGTGTTCGCGACATCACTACAGGCCGGTAAAAAGTGGGCAAAAAGAGACATATTAATGCAAAACATTATACAGGATCATAGTGCATTTGTTAACCATCAGTTAGACATTTTAATGAAAGCGTCCTAATTCCTGAATCGGCTGTGGTATGTACGTCGGCTATAGGCTGTGTAAGCTGCTCCAATCCTAAAGGAGTGCCCTGAGTAGTCGCTAGGGTTTAGTTTGAGCACGATGAATGAGTAGGTGGACATAGTGCATGAACTTACCTGTGGTAAGGACAGTATCGTACAGTGACAGTAATGGTTCAGTGGTGCGTATGGTGGCGTGCCCAAGAACGTAATCAGTACCTTAACCGGGCACCCAGCATTGCTTGTAAGGTAGTAGGTTATATGCACTGGCTCGCCCCTCTGACTCATCTTAGTTTTAGGAAGGGACCGGACATAGTGGTCTGTGTGTTTTAGAAGATAAGAGGTCAACAGGCACTCTTGTTTATGATGTTGGCCGCTGGTAGTGAGTTATTGTTTTGGCCTGAGAAAGCCGTTAAAGGCTAGATAGGTAGCAGTTTTGATAACTGCATTGGTGCGTGGCTCGGAAGTGCATGGTCGAGTGGTTCTGTCATGATTTGAACATTGTATGTCTATGGCCAGTATTTAGTTTTAGCGGGAACGTCCGCTTGGCCATGTCTCTAAGTAAGGTATGTATGGGGTAGGAGGATAGGAAGCCTTGTTGTTTGGGATGGAGAAATTCGTATAGTGTTGAATGCCCGTGAGATAAAGTTTAACCGTGTTGTGCGAGAATTATTAACTTAAGGTGGCAAAAAGAGGCGAAGGCCATTCGTGGTGAAACCTCAAACCAGCTATCTAAGTGATGGTCCGACATGAAACGTATTGTATAAGTGGAAAACCCTGTAGCAAGCGTGTTGAGTGCTGGTGGACAAAGCCAGTTTAGTCAGAGCCCGGCTATGTTGGCGAGGTTCATGTAATCCATGACCTTGACCATAAATGACCCCCTGCCATGGCGGCTGTCACGGCAGCTGCCACAATAATTTACCATTACGTGTGGTTAAGAAAGTCCACCATATATGTAGGTCTGCCATGGCTTGGTTGTCTAGGGACAGCCCCTGATCATCATTCGGGAGGGAGGAAAAAGCAAAGTGGTCTGAGATGAAAGCGCGGCCTGCGGTACGATGTGCATGGCAAAATTTAAGGAACCTGGTAGGGATTGTAGCTCCATGTGGTTGCAAGTACCAAGCAGGAGGTGGTAATTGGTGTTGTTGCGACTGTTCCTATTTCTCGCGTGGTAACTTGTTGGTATGGATGCCGAGTCAAGTTGTATGCCCAGGAATGTAACGATAGTGTCTGGGTCTTCTGTGAACTTAGGGAATACTGGGACACCCAAGTGTTCAGACATACTAATGGCTTCCTTGAAGCTTCTAGAGGGAAAGGCATTCCCTTTGACCAACAAGAAATCATCTCGGGAGTGTATGACTGTGGGGCATCTGGATATGTTTAACCACAACCAGTAAAGAGTTCAACGAATATATTGAAGATTGTGGGCTGCTCTTGACACGAAAGTTAAGCGGGAGAAGAAATATATAACTGCTGCCCATAAATGCCCTGTAAGTGCCAGTGCAGGGTGGATGGTGGCAGTCTGAAATGCGTTTGTGATATCAGTTTTACTTAACCAGGCTTCCCCTCCCTGCTTGAGTGATAGTTGTCATGGTATGAACAATGGTGGCATACTGTAATGAAAACTCCTCGGAGGGTATGAGGGAGTTGAGATTATGGGGTAGCCGAGGCATGAGGTGCAGATAAGTCTATGATCAGTTACAGTGTGAGGGAAGATTCCCTGTGACAATCCCAATGGGATTGCGCCACACTGTAAATGGTGTAGATCGGAGAGGCCCAGGTAGAAATCTTTCTGCCATTTCTTGGGCCATGAGTGTAATGCCAGCTGTTGGATGCTGCTATGATGACTGCAAGTTAAGGCATTCTAGATTCCCCCAAAAGTATATGGCAATACCTGAACAGAAGGCCTTTAAAATCGGAGATTAGGAAATAAACTAAATGTCTGGAAGGGTGATAAGTTAGAAAGTACTGGAAATGCATAATGTTTACAGACGAGAAGTAAGGTTCAGGGTACATTTATTGGGACACATGGTTTTTGCATGTGCCCTGACATATTGGGAACATATCTGCAACAGTCTGCATGCACTGAAACTACATGTGCCAACAAGGAAATTGTTGCAAATCTGGGATTTGCCAAAGAGAATGAGACGACCCAATTTGTCTCTGGTAGTTCGCTACGTCCTACCAGAGGTGCTAGAGCCTGGAGCCTGAAACGTGATCGTCCGCTGTGTTGGGACAAAATTGTCCTGTGGAACTAGCAACATCTCCAAGTGAAAGTGTGTTGACTCTAGCTGGAGTGTTAGGTAGAGAGAAATCCTTACCACCTGCTTGATACATACTAAAAAACATGAAGATAGCCATTATTATATGAACCCACATTGTGCTAGTACTGGCTTGCTAGCTAAAGCCGCAAGGCAAACAATTAATCCTTTGTTTGGTGACAGGTGAGGCCCTGCTAGTTGCCAAGTGGCTTAAGAGGCTCTATCTACGCAATGGCGCAAGGGGATTTTTGTGGCAACCAAACGTAGTGGCAGGATGTTGGCCTCTCGGTGACTGTAACCATAAAAAAGGGGAAGGGAGTGACCGTTGAGGCCCTCTCTATATACCATGCGAGGCGGCTAGCTCACGAGTGGCCCGATGGGTGTTTGCCTCTGAGCGTTGAGGCGGGGTGTTGGCCTCGCGGGACCACTATACGACAGGCGTAGATGCCAAGAAAGGAAAATATCTATTGGGAACCTATAGTCCCTAATTGCCAGTACGCTAAGGATATACCCAGGGGGAAACAGAAAATTTATGTATATACAACATGAGCAGGTGTGTGTACCTGGTAGTATGATTAGATACCCTTACTGGTCGTAAAGGTTATTAATACCTGTATCCCAGACGGGTAAAACAATGTATGAAAATCGAATATAGACATTTAAAAGCGTATATCCATATGTGTGTTATGCAAGTTTAATAGAGCAAAGTGCTCTGTCCCAATGTTTATTGTATGCTTGTAATGCCCCTGTTTGAAGGAAATTAACTTGTCGGGAGTGTTATATCATGTGTGATATGGAATACAACTGTACTCCGAAACATGAGTGTAGTGAACCATGACTGGCAGCTGAATAACCTAATATGTGAAAATACGTAATTGGAAGGACTTATATTTTAAGCGTATTGTCAGTAAATGTAACTAAATGCCTATGAAGGCAGGTATGCAGGAATGATTATATCATAGTAAGCATGATTTGTAAGGAAGTGTTATTGTGTAATTATAATTATAGTGGGAATGTTATGAGGGGAATAACCATATGTCTGAAAAGCCTGTAGTATACCGTTTGACAAATAGGAGTCAGTATAAAAGTGAAAATGCTGTAGTTAGTTTGTTTGCTTATGAAGTGAAATAAAGTCTGAGAAGCCTGTAGTACACTGAATGACCGGTAGGGGTCAGTGTGTAGGCGCAAATGCAGTGGTTCGTTGGTTTGTACATGAAATGCAATAATGTCTGAGATGCCTGTAGTTACACCAAATGACTGGTAGGGGTCAGTGTCTAGGTGAAAATGCAGTGGTTCGTTGGTTTGTACATGAAATGCAATAATATCTGAGAAGCCTGTAGTACACTGAATGACTGGTAGGGGTCAGTGTGGTGTCTTGGTGAAAATGCAGTGAAAATGCAGTGGTATGTACATGAAATGCAAAAACTTCTAAGAAGCCTATAGTATACCGAATGACCGATAGGGGTCAGTGTGTAGGCGCAAATGCAGTGGTTCGTTGGTTTGTACATGAAATGAAATAATGCCTGAGATGCCTGTAGTACACCGAATGACCGGTAGGGGTCAGTGTCTAGGTGAAAATGCAGTGGTTCGTTGGTTTGTACATGAAATGCAATAATATCTGAGAAGCCTGTAGTACACTGAATGACTGGTAGGGGTCAGTGTGTAGGTTAAAATGCAGTGGTTAATTGGTTTGTACATGAAATGCAAAAACGTCTAAGAAGCCTGTAGTACACCGAATGACCGATAGGGGTCAGTGTGTAGGCGCAAATGCAGTGGTTCGTTGGTTTGTAGATGAAATGCAATAATGTCTGAGATGCCTGTAGTACACCGAATGACCGGTAGGGGTCAGTGTCTAGATGAAAATGCAGTGGTTCGTTGGTTTGTACATGAAATGCAATAATATCTGAGAAGGCTGTAGTACACTGAATGACCGGTAGGGGTCAGTGTGTAAGTGAAAAAGCAGTGGTTTATTGGTTTGTACATGAAATGCAAAAACGTCTAAGAAACCTGTAGTACACCGAATGACCGATAGGGGTCAGTGTATAGGCACAAATGCAGTGGTTCGTACATGAAATGCAATAATGTTTGAGATGCCTGTAGTACACCGAATGACCGCTAGGGGTCAGTGTCTAGATGAAAATGCAGTGGTTTGTTGGTTTGTATATGAAATGCAATAATATCTGAGAAGCCTGTAGTACATCGAATGACCGATAGGGGTCAGTGTGTAGGCGAAAAATTGTATGTCGTTTGTAGTTTTAACCCAACAGATTTTTAACCAAAACAGATTTTAACCAACAGATTTTACATAAACAGCTAGGTGAGTATAAGGTAACGAAATAACCGTGCAAAACGAAAGGAAACCGTAAAGTGAGGACCCGTGCTGTGTTGAACGCCGTGGGAACTAATCCTGGCGCGACAGGTGGGTCAACTTACGGTTTGAGAGTCCCTGAGACACCAAATGCGATGCTGACCAGAGAGAAAGCCACTGGATTAATGGAAATCCCTGCTGCAGGATTCCTGGACACAGCTTGGAGTAGGAGACCTCATGGAGCAAAGGTGAAACCAAAATGGCGTCTTGTATGACCTGGAAGTGGATCTCATGCAAATGCTGACCTTGAACAGTCTATTCGTCTGACCAACAAAAGGTAAGTAGGGAAAGGGGGGAGTCCCTTTTATAGGTCTATAGCCCCTCCCACAACTTCAGGCCATGCCTTCCAATATATATATATATATATATATAAAATCATTCTAAGAATATTTTATCAAAATATTTGTGATATTATTATTATTATTATATTTATTATTATTATTATGATATTTATAGAGCGCCATCAAATTCTGCAGCGCTTTACAATGGGTGGACGAACAGACATAAAGTTGTAACCAGACAAGTTGGACACACGGGAACAGAGGGGTCGAGGGCCCTGCTCAATGAGCTTACATTCTAGAGGGAGTGGGGTAAAATGACACAAAAAGGTAAGGATAGTATTAGACTAATGACAGCTGCAGAAGAGGAATCAGTCGGGAGCTATTAACAGTTTGATTGATACACTTTTATGAAGAAGTAGGTTTTTAACGATTTTTTGAAGGAGTGGAGACTGGGTGAGCATCTAACGGAGGAGGGAAGCGAGTTCCAAAGGAACGGTGCAGCCCTAGAGAAATCTTGAAGGAGAGCATCAGAGGTGGGAGTACGGACAGACGATAGACGTAAGTCTCCAGCAGATCGTAAGGGCCTAGACGGGACATACTTGTGTATAAGGGAGGATAGATAGGTGGGAGCAGCATTATGTAGAGATTTGAAAGCAAGAACCAGAATTTTAAATTGAGCTCTATATTTTATAGGAAGCCAATGTAGGGACTGACAGAAGGGTGAGGCATGGGAGGTGCGGGCGGACAGGAAGATGAGCCTTGCCGCCGCATTCATTATGGACTGTAACGGTGCTAGTTGGGAAAACGTAAGACCACTCAGAAGTGGATTACAGTAGTCAAGGCGAGAAAGGACAGTGGAATGGACCAACACCTTAGTCGCATCAGGCGTTAAGTAGGGGCGGATGCGCGCAATATTTTTGAGATGACAGGATTTGGCGATAGATTGAACATGAGGCTTGAAAGAGAGGTCGGAGTCAAAGAGAACACCTAGGCAGCGAGCCTGCGTGGCGGAGCTGATGGTAGCACTGTTGACTTGGAGGGATGCAGACACAGGAGTAACAACACTTGAGGGAGGAAAGACCAGAA